AATGCTCAATTTGTCCAGAAGTTCACTCTCTACAGTCAAGGAAAAGGATGTTGGTACTGGTCCCTTTACCCAGCATCCAGACTCGCGACTTGGGAACAGCAGCACAGCCCACGTCATCAACCCCCAAGCCCTGATCCCAGTTCTTCATGCACCCTAAGCCCAGCACTCACTGTGGTCTCTGCAGGTGCTGCCTGGAAGTCTCCGCAGAGCCAGATTGGCCCCCACCGTGCAGGGAAGGCAGATAGGCCTGAGGGGAAGGACAAGGGTCACAGAGGCCCATCCTTAGTCCCCTCCTCCAGCGCTCCCCAGAGCGCTTCTCACCCAGTGGGCAGCCTCCCACCCCAGACTCCGGCACCTGGCGTGGGTGGACATCTTCACTTTCTGGGCCAGCTTTAGCAGAGCGATGTCATCGCCATAGAACTCCGGGATTCCCTGATTCTTCTTGGCAAAGACATTGAACCCCGAGGAGACCACCGCCTTCTCAACTTGGAATTCTTTGCCCCACTGGGAGTTGGGATCCCCTGGAAACAATGTGGCAGATTAGGCTGGACTAGGGCTGCTGAAGGGGCCAGAGGCTAGGGACAAGGTGTGGGAGCCTTGCCCACGGGGTCGGGAAGCGGGTGCAGGCCCTTCCTTACCCACGCTGACCCTCCACAGGGGGTGGGCCTCGGCGTTGCGGAGGCAGTGAGCGGCTGTCAGGACCCACTGGTCCGAGATGAGGGCCCCTCGGCAGGTCTCCTGGCTCTTGGGCTGCAGGGGAACAGGTGATCTTCAGGGACTGCTGTGTCTCTGGCTCATGGCCGCTGTCACCTCTGGGATCCAAGCCCCATCCCTCCTTCCTGGTACCTTAATAGTGACATGCCAGGGTGCCCTCTCCTGGGCAGAGGCATTGGCAGACATGTTCCCTACCCCACAGATGGTGTCTGTGAGCTGGGAGACATCTGTGGGCGTGAGGAGCAGATGGTGAAGGAGGCTGGTGCGGGGCACCACGAGCAGGTGCCAGTGTGGACCCTTGGCCGGCTCCACACTGGCCACACCACTCTGGAGAGGGCAAAGCACACTCACCCAGCATGTGCTCAAAGACCTGGCTCAGAGCCTTCACGTCCTTCAGAATGAAGGCATGCCTCTCGCCATCCTTCTTGGACCCCAGCTCATTCAGTTCTCTCCAGTCCACATCCAGGTTGCCCACGCCGATGGCATAGATGTCTGATGGGGAGGAAATCACCAGAATCTTGTGGCTGAGGGGCTACCCCGTGACAGAAGACTGTAATTCTGAACTCGTTGCATCCTACAAAGCCCTACATGAGCGGGATCCCCCTCCCTCCCCACACGACCTACCTCATTTCCTACCACTCCTCCCCCTTCACTCTCTTCCAGCCACATGGCCTCCTTGAAGTTCCTCAAATTGACAGGCACACTCCCACCTCAGGGCCTTTGTATGAACTGTGTCTCTGCCTGGTTCACTCCTCCTCCCAGACTTCTGCATGCCTCACTTTCTTACCTTTTTAAGTTTCAACTCAAATGTCACCATCTCAGAGAGGCCTTCCCTGGCCTCCTTGTGTAAAACTGCAATGCCCCAGACACTTTGATTCCTTCCCTGCTTCATTTTATACCTTAGCACGTGTCACTATCTACCGTGCCATATGGTTTCCTTACTTATTTTGTTTAATGCCTAGTGTGGGTAGAATTGTGTCTCCCCAAAAGATATGTTCAAGTCCTAACCCCCAGGACCTGTGAATATGCCCTTGTTTGGATATAGTGTCTTTGTGGATATAATCAGTTAAAATGAGGTCCCGCTGGATGGAGGCAGGGGTGGGGAGGGGTGATAATCTGATACCTTTATAACAATAGAGGAATCTGGACACAAACACAGAGAGAGAAAAAACCATGTGACAACACAGAGATACACTCAGGAAAGAAAGTGATGTGAAGACAGAGGCAAAGTTTGAGTGATCCGGGACTTCCCTGGTGGTGCTGTGGTTAAGAATCCGCCTGCCGATGCAAGGGACACGGGTTTGAGCTCTGGTCTGGGAAGATCCCACATAGTGCGGAGCAACTAAACCCGTGTGCCACAAGTACTGAGCCCGTGTGCCACAACTACTGAGCCCGTGTGCCTAGAGCCCGTGCTCCACAAGAGAAGCCACCGCAATGAGAAGCCCGCACACCGCAACAAAGAGTAGCCCCCGCTCGCCGCGACTAGAGAAAGCCCACGTGCAGCAACGAAGACCCAATGCAGCCAAAAATAAATAAAATAAATAAATTTATTTAAAAAAAAAAAAAAGATTGAGTGACCCTACGACAAGCCAAGGAGTGCCTGGGGCTACCCGAAGCTGGACGTGGTAAGGAAGGAGTCCTCCCTAGAGCCTCCAGAGGGAGCATAGCACTGCTGATACCTTGATTTTGGACTTCTGGCCTCCCAAACATGAGAGAATAAATAGCTGTTGTCTCATGCCACCCAAATTTGTATAATTTGTTGCCACAGCCCTAGGAAACTAATACATCGCCCCCTTCCAGAATGACATCCCCATGTAACAGGCATTTTCCTCTGTTTTGTTCACAGCTGTATTCTGAGTGATTCCTAGCCCAGGAGAGACTCTCAGTGAGTACTTTCAAATGACTAAATGAATAAAAAGTACTCATGGGGCTTCTCTGGTGGCGCAGTGGTTGAGAGTCCGCCTGCCGATGCAGGGGACACGGGTTCGTGTCCCGGTCCGGGAAGATCCCACATCCCACTCCGCGGAGTGCGGCGGGGTGGCTGGGCCCGTGAGCCATGGCCGCTGAGCTTGCGCGTCCGGAGCCTGTGCTCCACAACGGCTGGTCTTCCTCTGTAAAATGTCGGCTCTAGGAGAGGACCCTGGAGCCATCTCTTCCCGCAGGAGAACCTGGGCCCACACAGCCATCCTCACCAGCCTCTGAGCCAGCGTGGGTGCCAGTCAGAACTTCCCTGGGGTGGACCATAGAGTCTGGTCTTCTCCCACCCTTTGTACCCCTCATGGGCCTTTTTGCAGTTATGATGGGAACTGGACAGTTATCACGCCCCACATGTTTTCTCTGTTTCCCTGCAGTTCCTGCCTCTCTTTCATGAGGTGTGTTCAAGCATTTAACTCTGGCCCAGGGATGCTAAGGAGTTAGGGAGTGGAGTTTGTGATCTGCCTTCCTTAGGCCAGGGTTTTCAAGAGGAATATGCTTACCTCCGAGGGGCAGGTGAAGTGGGTGGCATGAACAGAAATGAGAGGACCCGGGGGAAAGTAAAACTTGGGGCCTCAAAACCAACTGCCCTCCCTTATCTGGAGCATTTCTCTTTGAAGTTCTTTTCTGGTCAAAGGTCAGTGCAATTTTTGTTTAATCTGAATTAGAGGAACTGTTCTTTCAGAGACTGCAACTGCCAGAGCCTTAGTTATCTGCACTGCTAAGGGAAGAAAGGCCAGGAACAGTCCCTATAAGGAATCCAGGCCTTTTCTTCCTGGAGAGGTTTGTGGAAAATCAGACAGTGAATGAAAACGATGACGATGACGATGGTGGAGGCCGCCACCGCACACCGTGTTTGTCTGTGCCAGGCAATGTTTGAGCATTTGCCCTTATCAACCAGTGAGGTAAGTCCTTGTACTATATCCTTACAAGTAAAGAAACAACCCATGGCCACAGCCAATCAAAGGTGAACCCAAGTTTGAAACCACGGGCAGTTTGACTACTCTTCAGTGTGACACTCGGCTGCCTTCATACAGAACAACACAGCCTGGGGTCTCGATAGAAATACAGCCAAGATGCTAGAAGCCCTGGCTGTGGGCCCTGGGCCCCCCTGCAGGGCAGCACAGATGGGGCGGGGGCGGAGGCTCACCCAGATAGTTTTCCCTCTTCTGGTTGATGTTCAAGACCTCCTTGATATTGTCAACAGCCACCTTGGGAGAGCCACCCATGTTGGACTTTCCTAGAACAAGGAAGGAAAAGAATTGTCCATCTGGGTGATGTATCACGAATCCCCCCAGCCCTGGAAGAGAGGGGAAGCATTCATCCTGGGAACCTCAACACCTACACTCCCTACTCGAGTTTCAAGATACATTTTTTACTGAAGTTCTTTAGCACTGGGGCAGCAGCATCCTACACTTCATCTCATTTGATTCTCATGAAGCCCCAGTAAGTGTGGGTCTACTCATCTTATAGACAAGAAATCTGATTTCTAGAGGAGCCATGTAATTTGGACAAAATCAAGAGATAAATGGCAGAGCCCAGATCCACTAGCCAGTCTGCCCTTCCATCGGTGGACTTCGACATCACTGGTCCAGAGCCACGCCTCCCCATCCAGCTCCCTCTATGTGACCTCCCAGGTAATAACAATAACTAACATTTACAATCATAAAGCACTTTTACATAAAGTACTTAAATTGCTCTTCATAAAAACTGTGTAAGGGGACTTCCCTGGCAGACCAGTGGTTAAGACTCCACGCTTCCACTGCAGGGGGCGAGGGTTCAATCCCTGGTCGGGGAACTAAGATCCCACATGCCGTGCGGCGCGGCCAAAAAAATTTAAAATAATAAACAACAACAAAACTGTGAACGGAAAGGAGGGCAGCTTCCATTATCAATAATTGTTGCGGTTGTCATTACCGTCATCATCGACACTATTTCTACTTTATAAATAAGAAACCAAGGCCCTAAGTGGCAGGGGGAGAATGAGAATGCAGGTCTCTGACCCCACACTGCTTCTCCTTCCACTATGCCAGACTCATTCACAGTGACGACGATACCCACCATCTGTCAGAAGGATGATGGCATGTCGGATTTCCTGCCAGGCCGCCGTGTTCATTCTGAGACGTTGCATTTGGTTATTCATCATGATATAGACAGAATTTAGGGCCTCGTAGATGTTGGTCCCGGTTCCGTTTTCATGGTCTGGAATATGTGAAGACGAAAAACTCTCTTAAGAAACTTCCCACCTACCACCTGGGAGAAGGGAATCACTCTATTTTCCCCAAACACTGGAAATGCATTTATCAATAGATTTGATAAACACAGACTTTTGATATCCAGTTAGAGATTTGGCATCATTGCCCGTTCAGACATTAAAAGCCTTTCCCTTTAGAAATGCTTATTGCATAACCCCACTAAAGGCCATCCTAAAGTCCCAAGATTCAAAGATGGGGTTTCCAAAGAAAGTGGGTTGTTTCAGCCATCTGCTACCTACCACCCAGGTAGTTTCCTAATGACATGAGGAGACTATGAAAACCAGACCATGTGGTTCTGGCATCAGGGAGGAGCCAAAGACCTGCATGATGCATTTGGACACGTAGCACGTGCGAGGAAGCCCGGAGCTGGTAGGAGCTGGGACTCCTCGACCATGAACCTGACTTGGAAGCCACCCCACCTAAGGAACCTTAGTCCCAGAGCCCTGGGACTTGAGTGCCACCAAGAAGCCTCACTCTCTCTCAAACTTGTCCAGTATCTCTGCAGGCACAGAGAGCTCATCCCCTGCCCCCACTTCCATCACCTTCATTTGATGACATCATACCTTTATAGTGGGCGTTTTCCAGACTGTGGGCCACTTCAGTCACATCCTCGGATTTGCTGTCCAGGACAGACATGATGACTTTGGGCTTTGATGCAAAAGTGATGATGGCGACACTAACCTTGACCTCAAAGCTGAAGATCTGTGAAGGGCAAGTGAGAGGTAGTGTGAAAGGCTCCCAAACCAAAGGGGAGTTGGTAAGGGAGCCAGCAAAAGGCCCTGGAGGAGGCAGAGAGCCTGGACAGAGACTGACGGATGCAAGGCCCTTGGAGAGTCCCTTCCTGGGAAACGGTTGCTTGAAGAAGCCAGGAAATTGACATTTGTTGGTCCTCTCCTCTCTTTGACTGGCTCACTCTTCATTTAATCGTCACCTCAAGGCTATGAAGGGTCGTGATGGTCCCGATTATACAGATGAGGAAGCTGAGGCTTGTTTACCTTGCCCCAGATCACACTCCTGGTAAGAGGTGGAGGTAGAATTCAAATATATCGGCACTTGTCTGTCGAGTTTTGCAGCCTCACGGCTTAGTGAGTTACTTAACTTTACGTCTTAAGAGAGACACTAAGGAGCACAAAAGCTGCCTTCTTTCAAACCTAGCTGGGAGGGAAAACCATATATCTACACAAACTATTGTGAAAAGCATAACTACCAAGCAAAGTCCTGGCAAGGAATCTGAACCAAGTGTTTCCAAACTCTTCTGTTCATGCACCTCGTCAGTCGAAACATTCTGAGCATGTACCTCAATATAGGTATATGTATTTATAAAGTATACTCATACTTATAAAGTGTATCACTATTTAAATATATTATACACATTTTAAAACATAGAAAATATTGAAATTTTAAAAGGAAATTATTAAATATTAAGTTCTTAATTTAAGTTAAATTACAATCATTCACCATGGATACCAGTATTTTCCTGCCACACGCCAGAAGATTATTTTGGATACCCCTCTGTGAAGACCACTGTTCTAGATGATGAATTCCTGGAAAGCGGGGTCTCAGCCTTGTTCATCTTTGAGGTCCCCCCACACCCAGAACAGTGCCTGACATAGAGTAGCTACCCCAACAGTGTTTGTGGAATGAAAAATAGGATCCTCTAAATTAAATCCGTGATTCCTGCATGGCATGTGTGTAATCTGGGAAGACTTCTTGGAGGAGGTGGGCTGTGAGTGGGATTCTGAGGAAGGGAAGGAGACAGAGACCGTGAGTGCAGGAAGGCTGCTAGTATGTGCGAGCTCCTATTTCCTGACCCTGTCCACCAGGTGGGAGGTGCTCTTCTTGAAGATTTCAAAGTCCTCTTCCTCCACACTCTGAGATGCGTCCAGGAGCACGTAGAGGTTCAGGTGACCCGAGCGCTGGATTTGTATTTTGCGGCCCACGTTTTCTGGAAGAAATGTGGAAGGGGAAGATTCAGACTCCATCTCCTACCCACTCTCTTGCCAAGGCAATCAGGCCCCTCTACCTCCCCTCCAGTCAGCTCAGCCCCGCTGAGCCCACCGGAGGCTCCTGGCGCCTCGGAAGCTTGCCCCTCCCCTGCACCCACCCAGCACCCTGCCACCCCCACTTCAAGCACTCACGCTTCTTCTTCTGGGTGGGATTGGTGGTTCCAAGTAGGTGGGACAAGGAGGTGCCCAGGGCAGGGGCCACATCCTCGGGAAAGTCATAAGAGTAGGGCTCTGTGGGGAGAGCCACCGGCGTCAGCTGCGGCCAGGGGTGGGGGTCCAGGAGTCTCAGGAGGGTCAGAGCAGCTACTCACGGCGGCAGATGGGCTCCATCCCACTCCAGACCCCATCATCCTGGCACTCTCGCTCCACAGACCCCGTCAGCACCAGATTTGAGGAGCAGCGGTAGCTGACCTTGTCGCCGAGGCCGAAGCGAGACCCCGTCCGCACTGCACCCACGGCAATGCCCGGGTTGGGGCAGTGGCTGGCTGTGAGGAGCAAAGGAAGATGGAGGTGAGCAAGGACCTGCCTCCTCAGCCTCTGGGTGCTGCTCAGACACCCTCTCCTGCCAGGCTCTTCCTCCACTACAGACCCTCAGAGCCTCTGCGGGTCCCTTGGCCTCTCCCTTGGGAGACACCACAGCTGTGCCTCCCAGGTGTGTGGATAGAAAACCTGAAGTAGGGAAAAAGATCTAGAACTCAGTGGCCCAGTTGCCAGCTAAAGCATACCAATCCCAACCCAGGGACTCTGCCTGTATCCATCCCAGAGCCTCAGAGAAGATGCTGGCTTCCTCAGGGAAGGAGCCCTACCTCTCCACAGAGAATACCTGCAAACAATGAAACATCACTACACACCCACCAGAATGGCTAAAACTAAAAAGATGGGTAATTCCAAGTGTCAGAGATGATGTGGGACAACCAGAACTGTTTCATTGCTGGAGTGTCAATCAGGAACCTGTTTGCAGCCTCTTCTGAAAGAAAACATATGCCAACGTGTGACCCAGTAATTCCACTCCTAGATAATGTGCTCAAGAGAAATGTGTCTAGTGCACCCAATCACACATAAGGATGTTCATAGAGTTTTACTTATAATAACCCAAAACCGGAAATAACCCAAATACCCATCAACAGGAGAATGTATAGATAAACTGTAATATGAAATGGAACTACAAAGCAATAAAAAATAACAAACTGCTGATACACAGGAAAACATGGATACGTCTCACAGGCGGAATGCTGAATAAAGGAAGACAGATGCAAAAGAGCACATTCTGTATGATTCCACTTCTATGAGGTGTAAGAATAAGCTAAACGAATCTGTGGAGACAGAAGTCTGAAGAGTGGTTACCTTGTGGGAGGGGACAGGAGGGAACCTCCTGATATAATGGACCCTCGGTCTTGGGTGGTGATTACGTGGGTGGATACACATAAAAGGATACTTGTGGGTATGAAAGTTCATCAAGCTGAATACTTAAGATTTGTATGCTTTAGGTAGTTTAAACCTCAATTTTCAAATGAATTATATTTATGTTTGAATAAATGGCTATTGTCAAAGAATCAAGGACGTAAATAGGGAGCCAACAGCTGGGCACCAGGTGAGGGTATGGTCCTGCCATCTCATGGACTCTAAACCTTCTGTATTGTGTATTTAGAACTGTGATCCAGGAAGCTTCCAAAGCCCACAAGCAAATGTGGCTCCAGGGAATCCCAGGAGCCCCACTTCTGTCAAGCAGAGCCCCCCCATCTTTCACAGAGGCAGTAATGACCATGACAAAAGTATATGAGGCGCTTAGCACATTCCAGGGGCTGTTCCAGATGCAACTCACTTGATCCACATGGCAACCCCATGCAGTCAGTACTCTTACCATCCCCATTTTACAGATGTGAAAACTGAGGCACAGAAAGGTTAAATAACCTGCCCAAAGGCTGTCAAAATCAGAGCCAGGCTTGGAACCCAAACTTGCTCCTGAGGCAAGGCACCTAAGCACGACACTTGATTCCCTTCATCATATCTTCCCTACAATAGCCCAGGGCACCCAAATACCAATCTGGCTTTGAGGCATTTGGAAAAGCTGGACAGAGTATTTGGAGCCTTTGTGTTGGATCTGAAGCTTAGCACCAACTTCCTTGAGCCAGGATCCCCACAGGCCAGAGATGTGTGATTATAGACCTCAACTGACCAAAATCTAGGAATATGATTTTGGCACCAGAAACACCAGGCCCCTGTCCCCACAGAGGCTCCCTGCACACATATCTGGTTCCAGGGCTCCTGGGAGACCCCTGCCCCCATGCAGCCATCTGTCAGGGCACTCACCGCCGTTGTCACACACAGCTGTCTCCCCATCCCACATGCCATTGGGGCGGCAGTGCCGCACCAGCGAGCCCCGCAGTGTGAAGCCATCCTCACACTCGAAGCTCAGGTTGCCGCCCACAGGGTGGGACCCCAGCCGTGGGGTGTATACGCCGTTCTCAAAGGTAACAGGGGCTGGACAGCGAACAGCTGGAGGGAGAGAAGGGCATGAGAATATAAGAATGGAGGGATAACAGCTGGGCTGGACACCAACTGGGTGAAGTTCAGCTTGGATGCATGGGTAGAGCCAGCTGGTTGTCAAAATATTAGGTTGATGCCCATGAAATTGCTACTTTTGGCAGTTGGTTGAATATTGGCAATTTCACACAGTTCAACCTAATAGACTGAGAAACAGCCACTTCTTTCAGCCCCCTGAGGGCCATGTCCACCCCAGCCCCTCCCCTGGGGTCCTCAGATGTCCCATGAGTGGATAACTAGAGGGGTGACTCCTGGTACAACAGGGGATGCCAGGACCATTCAGCATCCATCCCGAATGGTCAGTACTGTGCAGTTAATTGTTCAGTATTCTAACAATCATCCCTGGGCTTCCCTGGTGGCGCAGTGGTTGAGGATCCGCCTGCCAATGCAGGGGACACGGGTTCAAGCCCTGGTCTGAGAAGATCCCACATACCACGGATCAACTAAGCCCATGCGTCACAACTACTGAGCCTGTGCTCTGGAGCCCACAAGCCACAACTACTGAAGCCCGTGTGCCTATAGCCTGTGCTCTGCCACAGGAGAAGCCACTGCAATGAGAAGCCCACGCACCACAAAGAAGAGTAGCCCCCGCTCGCTGCAACTAGAGGAAAGCCCGCATGTAGCAACTAAGATCCAATGCAGCCAAAAATAAATAAATAAATTAATTAATTAATTAATTAATTTTTTAAAAAAAAGAATTCGCCCACCAATGCAGGGGACACGTGTGCCATCCCTGGTCTGGGAAGATCCCACATGCCACAGAGCAACTAAGCCCGTGAACCACAACTACTGAGCCTGTGCTCTAGAGCCCGTGAGCTACAACTACTGAGCCCATGTGCCACAACTACTGAAGCCCGTGCACCTAGAGCCTGTGCTCCGCAACAAGCCACCACAATGAGAAACCTGCACACCGCAACGAAGAGCAGTCCCCGCTCACCGCGACTAGAGAAAGCCCGTGAACAGCAACTAAGACACAACTCAGTCAAAAATAAATAAATAAATTTATTTTTAAAAAAATCATCCCTGGCTTTGGTACCCCACAATCCACATCAGAGCCTGCCTCCGATGCCTTGCTGTTGGGCAGTTAACATTTTCCCACTATTTTGAAAAGCCCTGTGGAAAAGAAGCTTTGCCACCCCATCTAGTCATATTAAGCCCCACCCTGAGTAAACTAAATAGAAGTCCAGGGGTGGCCGCTGGTGGGAAGCCTCACGTTTGCAGACCGCCTTTGTCCGCTGGCTGGATCTCGGGAAATGCCACCGTCCGTCGCTCTTGCACAGGCTTGACGCCACCGGGTATGGGTAAAGGCCCAGGGGGCAGGAGTAGGTGAGGATACTCCCAGGGGCCCAGCCGTTGCTGAGGGTGAAAGTGCCCCCAGAGATATTCACGTTGTGAGGGCAGGAGGGAGTGGTTGTAGCCAAGCCTGTGGGCATGGGGACACGACACAGAAATGAAGAAAAGAAGGAAGGCACGGATAAGAAAAGGAGAGCAGAAGAGACTGCCCATTTCACACATGGAAACTCAATCTGGGTCGCACTGGCCTTGCCCCACAGGACCCCAGCATCCCCCCTCCCCTGCTCCTACCTGGGTACAAGGGCAGCAGGCAAAGGACGGCCATCAGTGGGTCCATGGTGTCTACTTTAGGGGCACGGAGAGGCAGAGAGCCGGGAGAGGGAAAAGGTCATCTGACTTCCCGAAAACCAGAGCTGGCTCAGCAGCTGCTTCGTCTGCTGCCAGAGAAAGAAAACTAGGGAGTGGCAGAAGGTAGGGGGCATGTTCTCTCGTTAGGAGAAAAAATAATCAGGGGTTGGGGATTGAGCTGAGGGGGTGAAACTTCCGGTCTGTCTCCCTAATCCTGACACATCCATAGAGTCAGTTGATCTGCACCACAGGTTCTGCACACTGCCCCCCAATTCCACCGTCTCACAGACACAAGTGCACGCATGCTCTCACATGAAGAGTCTAAAGCACACAAACCCACAAACCAACCGAGATATTGCACAATGTTTTATTTAAGTAAAGTTTCAGTTTTCTTTTGGGTTTTCCCAAGTGGATTTTACTTTCCTCGGAGTCTAGAGTAGTACTGTCTTCTTGAACATAAACCCCCAAGGGATTAAACTAGAAATTCTTAGAAATTCTTGATACTTAGGAGGATTCACCATCTTTTTCTTCCCTGCAGTCCTTCCGCAGAGAGAATCTAGGGAGAAAAATGAAATCAACACTTAGTTTTAGAGACTGGAAAAATATTGAGAATGTTTTTATGGGAAGTCCAGTAGATAAAATCCCCAACTTATAAAATAAATAAATCTGGGGCTGGTGATTCAAAGGAATGAAAGTATTTTTGGATTTGGGATGTGCCTTTAAATTATAACTTGCCCTTTGTATGAAATGCAGAAAGCAAAGAAACTCTAAGCTAGTGTGTTAGCCTCCCTATCCCACAGAAGTCTCTTTAATATTTGTCAAACAATGTGGGGTGTAAGTAAATAAGATCAATCAGAGATGAAGATGAAACGTCTCTGACGTGATCAGTTAAGTTTATGAAAACTCTTTTGATTTACAAACAACTTCTCAGAAATGCACATACACAAAGTGAACATACACAAAGTCAGTTCCTTGGACAGAATCAACTGAATGCAGGAAGACCATGACACCCCTGGTGTTGGGGGTCCCAAAGCTGCCGCTGCGACTGAGCTGCTGGTGCCTCCCCTGCACCCAGTATCTATTCTCCCTCCTTCTACAGTAAGAGATGTTTAGCAGAACACACAGTCACCCAGCTAAAGACTACATTTTCCAGCTTCCCTTGCAGCTAATGGCCAGGTGACAAGACTCTGGCCAATAGAATGTGAGTAGAACTGATGTGTGTAACTTACAAGTAAGGTAAGTAAAGTAACATCCCCACACACACACTCCCATGGGCTGGAATATAAATCTGATGGTGACTCAAGAGCAATATCCTGGAGATGATAGAGCAAAGAGACAGAGGAGCCTGGGTCCCTGATACTGTGTTGATGTCATACCAGCCCTGCCCACCTGCTCGGATTTTTACAAGAGAGAAATAAACTACCTTCAGAGCGGTGAGTATTAGAGACGTTCTGGCTTCATCTCCTTTCAATCACATAGTAGGTTTGAACCTCCCCATCCACTTGCTTTGGCCAATGAAATGTGACTGTAAGTGACATGGACTACTTCTAGATGGAAGCTTTATGAGCCAATGCAGTCTTCCTCGTGCTCTCTTTCC